AAAAAAAACCTAGACCTCAAGTAAAAAAAAAACCTAGACCTCAAGTGGTTTGCGCGCGATATATCAAAGACTATTCCGCAAGAATAACACAAATCGTCTAGAATGCAGATCGTTGGCTGTATTCCGAATGAAATTTCTTTTAAACAACCTTTAATCTCAAACAGACGCGAAGTTCAGGACAATGCAGTATTCTGGATATAGAGCGCTGGCTGAGAAGTGCCGGACATAAGAGGCAGAACTGCGCATAAATGGTTGCAGATAATGATGATGCTTGAATGGTGGCAAATGATAAAGGTGATAAAAGTCTCAGAACATAGAAGTTATCTGAAGCAACATAGCATCGAACTTACGCTTTCAAATATTCTCTCTTCATTTAGATCAAAAATCTTGGGCTTTTGAAAGCGTTTCAGTTATCATATGGAGGATCGGAACGTAATATAAACAGCAATAGCGTGATGCAGACTTCTCTAGGTGTTTTTGTGTGTCAGACTCATTGGTAAATTTAAAGTGTCCGATGTATGCAACAGTTTGAAATGACGCATACCAGAAGTGAACCTACGACTTTCCACACGAAGATCATACCATAGCAATTTGTTCTGGAGATCACCGTCTTGTCCCAGCATATTTAAAAACTTGCAATACCCGAAGCATAGGTCCATCACAATATTTCACGGACCCTGCTCCTCATGCTTGCCCATAAACAAAAAAGAATCGTTTATGTTGTGTCCGAGCAATCATGTTCCGCTACTGAGATATGCCCTATTTTTTGGAGGTCTGTCACTCAAGTTTTGTCACCAATTCAAAAGCACCGGTCTATCACAGTACTGAAGGGACTTCTCTTAAGGTTCGACCATAAACATGCGGATATTTTGGTGCCCTAGAATCTTCCAAGGATGTTTTGGCTGGAACAGTGATGCTCCAAAGAAAGTGACGTTACTTTTAGATTTTCAGAAGGAATATTATTGCGTATAGGAAACTGTTGTACAATATCGTTGACTTTATTGAAAATATTATGTTCGTTTCATGAGCTTATTGTTTTGCCACATAACGGTTGCTTTTGATCAGGCATCGTAATTTGCCTTGTTGCTGCAGTTTTTATTAGGTGATGAAATAAAAAATGCTCTTCATTCACCACAAGCAGTTGCCGAGACAAGACGGCTAGTGGAACGGCATTCAACGGATTCATTCTTTATTTGTGATCCAAACCGTTCAAATGTCGATGCATCTATCTATCTCATCTACTTCAGCATGCTCCTCACCCCGTTAAGTAGTACCGTAAATATTGTTCTCAAATACATAATCTTGCAACAGTGCTTATATTCTCGTCGATGTTTTGCCTTTATTCCTCAACCCATAAAATGCTATCCATCATGGTGGCACTCTCATCTCTATGTCGAACATTGTGGCATTTTCCCACAATGATTGTTCGCTCAAATACGCTCTCATTTTAGTGAAAGCGTAGTAGGCCGGCTCGAGAGAACTAATTTATTTTGTTTTTTTTTTTTCTAATCATTATCAGTAAATGGCTGTTGTGTTGAACATTCAGATTGGGTGATAGTCAACAGACTTACTGAAAGGCTAAAATTTGTGATAAACTTTTTTTGTCTCACTTGAGGTAGTAGTCGTTCTCCCTAATCTTATTCTACGTACTAGAATTAATTCTATCCATCATAGTGAAGTATTGAATTTTCTTTTCACGATCTTTTTCACGAATTATTTTCCTTACGATTGATGACTTAATTTCTAACCAGAGAAAGGTTTTCAGTGGATAAGTTAGGTGAGATAGGAAAACCCTTCGAGAGAAGTGGGTGGCAACAATTTAAAATTAATTTTTGATAATCCGGCTATTTATAATTTTTATTTAGATTTTTCTTTTTTCCGTATGACATTTCCTCAATACCGCCGGCACAGTTCACATGTGTAGACCTACGATATAGATGGATCTATTTTTAAAATGTTCGGTTTATTTTTCGTTGAGCAGGGAAGCGATGCATACAGAAAGAATGCAATGCGTCGCGAGTTGATACGAATGGTGAGGGAAAAACTTTGAACGAATTCATGAGCAATGTGTTCTTATTTGTACTGCAAAAGATGTTTACGTTGCGGGGCAAGGACTATGCTCCCACACTGAAGTTAGTCTCTTTCAGATTTTAATTGTTCTACCGCACTTCCTTCATCGATAGGGTCCTCTAGCCTAAGATAAATCATATCAAAATTCTCTCCACCCCTTCCGCATTCCCCTCTCCTCCGTATGTATCTAAATGTTTCGCCGTATGTTGTCATATCTTCGAAATATTCATCCGACTGATTCATTCATTATTTTTTGCCTTCAATCTGCTCATAATTCGATTCAACGTTCAACTTTCTGTAACGGACGCTTACTTTGAGCGAGCTTCGATGGTTGTTTTGCTATTTCTGACTGCTCAGAAATTAGTAATTTAATACAACATTCGACCGGAGCAGACTTTTCATTTCCAGTGCGTTATGGAATGTTTTATTCTAGATTCTTTTTCGCGGCACTTTTAATGAGTGCTGATCTTACAATGGTACTTTGTTTGGATTTTACTTAAATTTGCGATAGTCTAAAGACTAATATCCGAATGTGATTTATTAAGAGGTTTTTAATTCCATTGTGGTCATAGACAATAAATTAAAATTTTAAGCTATTACTTTTCGCTTCTTTCATTAAATCAAGCGGTTTACTTGTCATTCCTTTGGGAAAATCAACAATCTGGTGTCTGTGTGAAGCTCACTGCGAAAAATTTTATCTAATTGTAAGAGCGAATCTTATAATCGATGGGCATTTGGTTTTTAGGTTGATTAACTGGTAAATTTACAATGATTGTGAGAAAAATCGGGTGGACCGATCCTACGTCTTTTTTTGAATATACTTTTGATTAGCACTAATACATGAAAATTTTTTCTTTGATAAGTTATTGGACATGTTTCAGCAGAGAGGGAAGCTTTGTGGTGTAAAACAAATTAACGTGCTTCTGCGAATTTTCATGTCAGGATTCATTGGACAGGTGATTGAGCTTCATCTAGTTGGTGGCAGTCCCGATGACTTGATCTTATTTCTGCATAATTTTGAAAGTAGTTCCTTGAAGGTTTTAGTTCATACACCAGTTTCTCGCGGACGAGATATGTTGCTTATATGGAGGGTCGGAGAAGGAGAGATATATTATGAGAAGGAGAAACTTTGACCACCGTTTTGTTAGCGCCTGAAAGCAAACGAATGATCTCTTAAAAATTCCATATCTTAATTTGGGATTTCGTTATCAAAATATTTTGGAGTGTGAATCATTTTCCGATGCACCCTGATGAAGATACACCAACTGTATGCATTCATTTGAATGAACATATGAGCCTTCAGGGAAGTGTGACTTGCATTACCCGTACAGGTGCTTGTAGGAATATGAACAATTACTTTTGAATTGTGAATATTCGCCGTTTCTCAAACTGATCGCCAAAACATTTGCAGCTCTTATGCTTCGCTCTTGTTTGTCATTATGAGAAGATGACGAAATGTGAGTTTAAGGAAATTGTTGAATGTGTAATAATTATGACGAGTAATTTTTGAAAATTTTAATAATTTGGTTAGATTGGAGGCCACACACGTGATAGCAGTGGAGTACATGTGATATACCCTTAGCACATGTGATAGGGTTATATCACGTCCGTTTGACGATGCTTGATTTGTTGTGGGGGAAAAAAAATCGGAAAATGTTCAACATATCGATGAAGAAATTCAACTGATTCAAAAATTTATTGACTAGCTTGGGTCAGCATTTTGTAAACAACGAGCATTGCGCTTCTTTTTTTTTGAGAGGGGGGGAGGGGAGAGAAGTGTTTATTTGTTGACACGTACGTGCTTATCAAAGGTAGACATGCCCAAGAACAGTCGACCTATCACTTATTGGAATATCATTATTACAGCAATGCAGATGTCATGCGTGCATTATAAAACGCGACTGCAGTATCTCGTTATCGTTCATTAATCCCAGTGTACTTCTCCAATTTGTTCTGAAGGTTTGTAATTTTACTTCGTTTATTTTTAAAGAATTCTTCTTTTATGTAGTGTGTCTGCAACCACTGTTTCATTTGACAAACATATTGTGCTCATCTTTCCAGAAAAATTGTTTCCGTTATTAAATTCAAAAGTTGTTTGAAGGTTTAAAATTGACTGAAAACTTCAGCTGTTGCTAGGTATTTTCTGGTTACTTCCGTTCAAAAACAGAATTTATAAGGTTTTGGTGTGATCACATTCATTTGATCGATGAGTCTCGACAGTTTACTTGTGTTCGCTTTCTAAAATATAAATGAAAAAAAACTGTTGTTTTATGAGAACAGCTCGAAAGTTCGACTACGATCATTGAAACCTTTCTTCATTTCGTTGTTACAGTTATCTTCAGACTCATTTCTTTCTAGCCACCTATAACTACGTCTACATTCCTTTTAATTTGCTCGCATTCTTACTAAAATTAATAGTCTCAGTGAACAGTCGTTGCTTGCAGTTCGTCGTTTGTACCCTAACCTTTTGAGATATGTAAGGGAATGTTTCTCGTTTTTCCTTGTCATGTGATTGTCGCTAATATCCATACGTGTTATACAATAAGAGAGGAACGACATACGCACTCATCATTTCAATCAGAACTTTGAGGATGTTTAGAAACAAAAATTGACATTTTGAAATAATGAAATGGTGAATTATTTTGTGTTTAACAAAAACGCTAAGAAACTAACCATTTTATTATCATATATGTATACAGATAAATTTAAAATAACGTATGAATAAAACATTTTGAATAGATGAAACATTTTGAAAGTTGACAAATTAGACACTTGAAATTTGAATATTTTGGCGGTGATGATAGTCATATCAGAATAATGAACATTCGTGATGTGATAGATATGCGCCGATAGGTGAGTAGCTTATTTACAGGATTTATTATTAGAGGTGAGTAGTTTATTAGGATGACTGAAGGTAATGTTCACTTCCATTAAACGATATCACAGTGAGGCAATGGTGGTAATAAATCTCGAATACGATACCTTGCACGCAGAATGGTCCTCACATCACTTTTCTGTAATTATTTCTGATCATCTTGTTGTCTTCTATTAGTTGATGATTTTTAAAGATTTATGGCATCATTTAGAGGTGGAAATTGTGAACTGATTATTGTGATAATTATGGTATACTCTACCTGATTGGTAATATTTTCGAGGAAAGGTATCAACTTAAGAAGTTCCTGATCATCTTGCTCGAAAAACCAGCTCTCGATTGGGATACCATTATCAATTTGATAAGCAAACGATTGTAGCGAATTATCGATAATAATTGTTTTGGATAGATCTCTTCCGAGAATACTCAAATCTTTGATATAGTTGCCGTAAACGAATACACAGTGTTCTCGAAAGAGACGATGTCTAATTAGACGTTTGCCTGGATCGAGTAGATTCTGGAAATCAGTTCTTTTATTGCCTTGTCTTATTCGATTTCACTTCATTTTCACTGCCGAATTAACGTCTTTAATCAGTCGGCGTTTACGACAGTTTCACTGTATGGAACACTCAATCCACTGCTAATTACTTTCGAAAATTTCTACACATTTTGATAAACGTTTGCGTATATCTTTACAATCGCACATCCCGTTCAATGAAACGTATTGTTTTCGCTAACTTTAACCGAGCAACAAGCTGCGCTTTGCTTCTCGTCAACTTATGAGGTGTAACTATGAAATACTGCTCTCGTTCATCACTACAATAATGTAAGTTAACAAAAGATGTTTCGTTCCGTCACCAATACGACCATCACAGATTCTTCTGTGTGCCTGTGAATGAGATAGATAGCTCACCAGCAATTTATCTGCATAAACACGTTTACTTGCTGTGAATAATATTATTTCAAAAGACTGCGATAATCTCTCCAGAAATTCATGCAGATGAGGTCGTACTCGGACATAAACCTGAAATATTTTTCTGTTTCATTTTTTTTTTGAACTTTCCATCAACAAATGAATTTTTCGTTTTGGTTCACTACATAAACTAACAAATCTTCTTTTGCAGAAGTAATATCATAATTTTTTGCATTTCAACTTCACAAAGTGAAATTAAATTATTTGAATGCGCACGAAATATGCAATCATTATTCATTGATCAATAGCTATGCTAGTTATTGTTTGATGTGAGCATTTGGGTTTGCATATGAAGACGGATTCAATAACAGAGAGCTAAACTTTATTAGAGTCTACCAGGCATTGAAACAAAAGATCATTAACAACAGCTTGATTGAAGTTCATAAAATCACCTGATAAGTGTTGTCTTGAAAATGGACTGGAAATGTAAGTGACGCATCCGGCAGTTCGGTTAAACTACAGTGCACGAGGGTTTCATCCTGGAGTTATTCAGAACCTGTTACATGAAGTGATAATGATGATAGTAATAGTAAACAGCCTTGTTAATTGCTTATTAAATAGATCAATTTAATCAACCAATGGAACAGTTACCAACCAAATCAAGAACCAGTGAAAATTCTGGTGTTGATCTGGTGCGAAGTGGTAGTGCCGGACATCGGAAACGCATTTCATCGCTGAGAGGTGGCAAGTGACGTAGAAGATGTATTCTGCAAGAATGATTTCTTGGGGGAAATAAGACATAACTGATAAGCCTTTTTCATTACAACCATCATTATATTAGGTTCCGTTTCAAACATTTTATCGTTATTTTGTTGTATTGTCCGCTCTGATCAATTCATTCGAAATTATAAATAACGACTTTTCACTTACTAAGTTTTTTACTAATTCATTCGACTGCATAAATATACACTGAGATCGTTAATATCGTTTATTGCGAACTGTTTATATTCAGTCTCTTACTAAAAATACTCAGCTTCGCGTTTTTACGTTCCGTTTCCTGTTATCGACTTCCAATCAGCTACTGTAATCGTCTTACATAAATCATCCGTACTTTAAACTGTTCCCGTGGAATTTTTTTTTTGTCTATCCTTTGCTCTTTTCAAAACAAAACTACTCATTGTTCTATGGAATCAGTTGCTTTTAAGGCTTATTCAATGAGGGTTCAAATAAACAATAGAGAACGACTTGATACAGCTTTACTGATAGAAAAAGGAATCACTGTTATCGTTGAGAAGCACTAAGGTCAAGAAGTGCAGCTGTTTTTTTCAGCACTTTTGCTGATAACGGGCGCCACTGCGCGCATGTGCTGAGGTTACCGCTTTGCTTCTTATCTATCTATGCCATTGGAAGTCAAATCAGGAATATGCTTAAGCTTAGACTTACGCTTAGCCCAGTAATGAGGCTAACACATAGGCTTCGACTTATGGGTGATGCGTATGAGCACACGAGCATCTATGATGGCGCGATGGCGCCCGTTATCAGCAAAAGTACTGTTTTTTCTTCTCATTGTAGGTTGCGAAATGAAAATACCCTGATTGCACCCGAAAGGCTCGTCATAAACTCATGCAAACATCGAACTCGAAGACTTGCTATACCCTTAAGCAAGAAGGCATTGAAATGAACCTAGATCAACGAATTAGTGAGGTGATTGAATAAGACGGCTGATTGAGGCATGCTATTGTAGAACGGTATGCATTTCAAATAGATATGCACCATCAAAAGCATGAAAGAATTACGCAAAAACACAAAAACTAACGAATCGGAATCGATCAGCGGTAAAGTGACGGGTTGTGCATGTTGCAAATGATCAGGAATATTACAAATAATCGTGGTCTCATCCTCTCCGTTATCCACCATCACATAATACCTTCTCTCTCCGTAATAATAATTCCAAACCAAAATCAGCGAATCTCAATCTCAACTATATTGTGAACAGATCACAACATTAATAAGTATCGAAACATTAAAATAACAACCACCCTACTATCTCTACTTCTCTCTCCTCTCTTTCTCAATCAATACCCTCATATGTAAAGAATGTCGTTTGGCAATATGCCCAACGTTTCCCGCCTGCATTATTAGCAGCATTAAGCATACATCGTACGTATACGTGTGTAGAAATGCATCTATGTTTTGCTCTCTGATCAGCTGCGCATATCCTTTTCGAATGCTATTCGTTCCATACCGTTTATAACGCTTCCGTCATCTGTGAACATTACGATATTTTGTTTTATGTAATTTTCTATATTATTGCTGTGTTTATAAAGTGTAGATCATATTTTGTTCGTGCAAGAACAACGTGTGTTTGACAGTCATTTTATTTACTTTTTCCATTTTTTGAGCTGTCATTTATTGACTGATTGGTAATGCAGATGAAGTGGAATGAAAATATTGTTCTGTTGCTGAAGAATGCTCACATAAGTGCTTGTTGCAGTTCACCGATTCAATCAAATTGACAGCACAACTAATATTCTAACAGTGACCATGCGTACAAAACGACACTCTAATATGTCACAAGTGAAGCACAGCGCTAATGGCATGGCTTCGACTGCGAAGTATCCAACACGAAAGCGTAGATCACCAGTTTTGAATGAAGAAAAAAAATTAAATTCAGAACAGAACCATACCAGTGAGCAACCAGAAACGAAATCACCTCACAGATCTGAAGATACGGATGAAGAAAACAGTTGTGCGGGTTGGTCTTTTGTTATGATTCTGCTCAACTTTTTGATTGCTTGTTTATTCATTCTTCATACGCATTCTAATGTATCACTACTCAGGCTTCATGATTTTATTGACAGGTATGGATCATTTCCAGTTGATATGAAAATACATCTTCAGCCCAGTTGAGGAAGTGCGTAAATCTAGTACTTATTTCTGCTATACATTCAACGAACTGAGTTTCAGATGTGATCGTCAAATGCAGGGAATCAGCGAGAACTGTTAGATGTCAAGCTACTCGAGCCACGTCCCAAGGTAAAGCTGAAAGAATTTGGTTTGGTAGATGAAGCCAGTGCAAACACATTTTTTGAGTCAATGCAAATACAAATTATGAAATGCTCGTTTAGGCTTGATCAGTTGATTGCACAGCCTTCTTATTAGTGAAGTGAGTTTGGTCTCCACTCGCGATTCGGATCAGATCAATTCCATCCAGAAGAACATAGGAAGTTGAGTACGAATCCGTTTTTAAGAGTTGCTGAATCGTGTTTAACGAGATCAAAGTTCATATCCTGTTTCACAAGCTTGAATTTTGGATTAAATGAACTTGAGCACGACGATTCTGTAGCTGGCCATAATTCGATGCCAATGCTGACTCTACTTTTTGAGTTGTAATGACTGCAACCGCTTCTTAAAAAACTTTGCGTCTAAAAAATTGTGCACAGGACAGTTAACACTCTAATTGGAACACGAGAAAGTGGGGAAGTGGACATAAATCCTATTCCAAACATCACTATCGATTGACATTAAAGCAAAAAACGCAAAATTTTTCTCCAGAGTAAAGTAGGCACATCATACGATCAATAAATTGATGCATTTAATTCACTCGCATGATATTACCACAACGTCGAGAAAGGCCAATTACTGAGGTATTAGAAATGGTGAAGGACGCTTTGAATGATGTGAATGTGCTTAGGAAACAAAATCTTGAAACACAACCATGATATCTTTATTGAAACGTAACCATAAACATAATGTTTACTGATTTTCACACCTGAATTTTTAATAGAAACATCAGACGAAAAGCACATAGCCATTTTGAATGAGGAAAACGTTCTTTCAAAACCCTTCCGCTGACAACAGTGGAATTAACTTACAGTGAGCCAGTTATATGTTTTGCAAACCAGAGCTGGGTCGACCGGTACCAAAAGAGGTCGGTGGTAGCCTCGGGAAACAGACTTTTAATGGACACAGACTGAGAGCCAGAAAGGTTCTTTGAGATGGCTACCGAATCGCACGTCCATCGGTGGCCACTGACTAATTGTACCATCGCATCGGTTGCCACTGAAGGCCAAATTTCGGCAGACAGCTAACGAAAACCGTTTGATGCTTAAAATTTGCTTTATCGGTGGACATCGAGGAAAAATCTGTTGATTTCGAATTATGTCAAAACCGCTTTGAATCTTTGATAGAAATCGTGGGATGACAATTTGTTCATTCCTCTGCATATAATAACTGGTATTGATCATTTTTTACTCTGTTGTGTTCAGACAAGTTGTTGACTATCGCGCACATAACTTTTCATAAATACAAGAATTTTTTTGAGTAGTGGTTGAGGCCAATACCAATCATAAAACAAATTGCGAATCCTAGTCATATACAGGTGATGCCGCCCAGGCACATCAAGCGGATGTTTAAGTTTAGGTATGAGGCAAGCCGTGAACTTCGACCTTATATAATTCGTTGTAGAGGAGAATTCTATAACTTTGAAGACCAAAAGTTCATTTTGTCATGCTCATTCGAACAACATTGATCTCATCCCAATCACGGCTGGTGACCTACCTTATTTCCCTAGTTAAACCAAGAGCAGGCAAACTCATCTCAGCATAGATTGGAGTGTGAATCTTAATACAATAGTGAATGTTTGCTATCTGGAAATGTTCATCTTAATGCGGTAATGAATTTCTGTTCTCCGTTATTATTAACATTCAGGTCTTAGTTTCTTTTCCTTTAAGACTCATCAAAACAGATCGTTCAACTATTGGAAGGACGTGAGAGCGAAATGGCGACAATTGAATCACATTTGCAAAAATGTATCAGTTCATCATATTCCATGTCTGTTTACATTTCCGGTCCACCTGGAACCGGAAAAACTGCATCGGTAAATGCCGTTCTGCATGCATTATCCGTTAAGCATAGGTCAGTGTGCTGCTGCTCTGTTGCCTATTTTGCTCAACCAATGTAATTTTTGATGTGTTTTGTGTGACACAGAAGCATTTTGGCCGAATTTTAACGCAAATTTTTTGATCCGCAAAAGGGAAAGGATTTGTTTGGTGTAATTCATTTAATCCTCGTAATTGTGTTCTTCGTAATCGAGACATCATTGTAGGTTGATAGTGATTAACGTGAATTGTGTATCCACCAACACCGAAGCTGCTTTATTGAGACTGATGTCGGATAAGTTACCTAATTTGCGTTCGTCTCGTCGGAATATCGTCAGTTCGAAGTTGCTTGATACAGTTGAATCATGTCTACAGAGAGCCGATTGTCCGGTGTTAGTGCAGTTTCACTTCAGTTCTATTTCCATAGTTTTACTGAAAACGCTCTTATTTGCTATTTCTTCATAAACTTTATATTGAGACGCTGTTTTTTAATCCGCAGAATGAAGTTCATAATGATATAAGGCTTGCATTGGTGATCGCTCCATTACTTCCTCTTTACTTGTCCTCCATATAACACCCCAAATGTTTCAGAATTATATAACTTCTTTGATTTGGTTCATTTGCAAACTTTCAACAGAATTTTTTCTCAGTCGATCAGGAAACTGATCGATGGAAAAAGATACATTTCTACCGATGCGAAAACGTACAGTGTTCTCTCATCTGATTTAATCGTTGTTTTAGAGTGTTAGTTTTGGATGAAATCGATTATATTCAACCGAAAAATCGAAATATCCTATATACAGCTTTTCAATGGCCATCCAAATTTTCTTCTATGGCACTTATTGGTTTGTGAATTTGGTTCATTTATATCAATCATTGATTCACAAATTACCCAATCGTTCTAATTGCAGATGATAAGTGACATTCAGTAAAAATAGATTCGAAGATATTCACTTGAAAATCTAATTTTCAGTTGTGTTATTTATTATTGATTGTTCAAATGATTATTCCGTCGTTCCTTTAAAACGATTCAATTGAGCATTCATTACAGCAATCTCAAACTCATTGGATTTAACCGAACGAGAGCTACCAAAATTGAAGTTGGCCATTCCACCGATCGTTCTTCCATTTTCACCCTATTCAAAAGAAGATCTTTTGCGTATCCTCAAAACCAAATTATCCTCGGTATGGTGCAATTTATCATTCGCAGATAAATTTGATTTGTATCATTCTGTTTAACCAATATTTTTGATTAGTGTCGGACTGGCGTTTCTATTTATAAAATCCATTTTTTTAATCAACCGCTCGAGAGATTTCTTCTCTTTTTGAAATTTGTCGATCGTATCAAATCCGAACGTATTTGACGAAGAAAAACTGAGCAACTATTAAACTCGGCCAAGTTTTGTTACAGAATAGCGATATTGATGAACGTGCTGTCGAGTTGTGCTCGAGGAAGGTGGCCTCAATGACTGGTGACGTTAGGCACGCCATGCAGATCGCTCAACAGATGCTTCCTAGTTTAAGGTGTCCTATTCGTTGTGATTTTTTCTCGAATTTTCAATTATTGCGATGGCACAACATACCATTTGCGATCAATTGTGTAAAATTTTTGTGGTGGTGGTTTTATGTTATGTCTCAGGAGGTTGTCAGTGACTTTCAGTATAATTTTACGTTTGTGTTATTTTCATTTGATACCGGAAACAAGACTCCGTTATTTCTGGAGCATGAATTTTGTAAATTCTGGGAGGAAGTATACTAGCTTCACGCGACAATCGGTTAACGATCACGGTTTTGCAGTACCAGTTACATTTTTGTGCTACGGTACTGGCAGGGTCAAAGAACATGTCTCTGGTGTCTCTATATTTTAAGATATTTGATGCAGTAATTTTCTGAAATTGCAGTGTTCAAGCGGAAATGAAAAACAGCCTCAACGAGAGCTCAAAATTAACTTCAGCACCTTCTATGTCATGCCCTCGAGTGCTTGGTGCTATAACGAATGTGTATCGTTCTTCACTGGATCGTGCTCGTATTCCATTACAGCAAAAAATTTTGCTGGCCACCATGTTGAGATTGGCCGATAAACAAAAAAATACCACTCTTGATAAAGGTTATCCTTCAGTTTCGTTGCAATCTTTCATCCTTCCCATCTTATCCTTAGACATGAATATTCGCATGAGATATATTACAAATAAGGACAAATTCCAGAATATGTTCGGCTGATGTGTTATTTGCTTTATAGAATGATGAATAGTTTTCTATATGAACATGATTTGCAGATACGTTACTGGAGGCATACGAAAAAGTATGTAATACGATTTCTCTGCCATACATTGATACGGAATGTGCAAATTCAGCATTCGCGTTACTTGAATCCTTGTCGGTTTTGAAGTGTACTCGATCTCAGAAATGTCAGTTACTCGTCGACATACCAACGGCTGTTGACTACATCGCTGATTCTGCGCTCATGGCTCAGATTAATAATTTGGCTCTAAATTAACTTTGCTCTACCTTGAATCTGATGGAATCTCATTCGCACATTCAGTTTAAGCATTCGGCGATTTGTGATTTTTTTCATTCTTTGAATAACAGTTAAAAATCGAGCTTCCCTTATCACTCCTTATTCTTTTACATATTATACCACCTACAGTCTACTTCCTCTTCTTCCAATTAGAACTGAACATGTTTTGAATGTTGTTGCTATCCTGTACCGATTGTAATTGTCAAAGCATGTTAGCAAATATGATCAGCAATTTTCCTCAGGTAGGTGAGCGAAAATACTCCCTGATAAAAAATGTGAATTAGATTCTTTCCATATTATTTTATTCTGAAATCAAAATTTCTTTTGCGACAGAGAATATGGCCAGGGCCATTGCTACGCGTTACTCTTACTTCTCACCATTAAAACCAAATACTCATATGCGTTGTTGTTAGTTGTAAATATTATTGTTTGTGATTGTTTTGATCGTTTTTGCGACTATTATGCATACTTCGTGATACCTATTTCTTCTGTTCGTAACGTCTTTTATTTCTGGAAAATGAATTTGTTTTCGCATCAGTTGAAATGTTCCATGTTGACATCATGATTTAGAGTGTTTGTTGTTGATTTTATCGTAATGCCAAGTCTTTTCAGCCCAATGAAGCAAAGTTTTCGCTCATTTTCAATCGTTTGTTATTTTTTCACTTATGTTCCTATTCCCAAAGTAATTTTATTGTAAACTTATGTTTGCTTTATCCTGTTCATATTCTTTGTTCATCCACTTTACGTGTTAGTAAGAATGAATGTATAAAAAAAAGACGATCTTATTCTAACGAAAACAAAGCTTTTCGCATGCGCCAAGATATGAATCAGACACAGAACGTCAGTTCGGCGTTTATTAAAGAGAACTTTTCACGAACATCCACATAAAATGCCTTCATTCAAGAAAGAGTTCGATTGTCGTTGAACGGGTACTTTGTTTCGTCAACAGAAACAAAATTTGCCATTTTAACAGAATTATTTTTATTTACTACATTTCACACTTTGATGATATCAACTATGATTTGTTGTCTGATTTCGAACTTTTGCATTATGGATTGGTTTTTCATTCAGTTTTATATGCATATTTTCGATATATCAGTTCATCACAATTGCTAATTGACTTATTAAATACACACCGTTGCGTTTTGTTCATTTCATTTTAAATTTTGAAACAGTTCGAAATAACAATTGTCCGAGTGTGTATAATTTTTGATTTGCTTTCAATAAAGTTTCCATCCATTGTTCTTCGTTTGTTTTAATTTTCGTGTTTTGATATTACACTTAGTAATCAACTATCTTGTTTTGTTCGCATTCAAGTAACGCGCATCAGGAATTGTGCTGAAGAGAAGAGCATTTATTGTGCTGAGGAAGAGTGTTATCAGAAGTGTTGTTTTATGTTTCAGAGGGAAGTGTGCAAAGATGAGACCGTTGACTGATGAGGAAACTGAATTGGTGTTCAAAAAATTGGCCAGTTATATTGGTGATAATATCCGTCATTTAGTGGATAGGGATGATTTGCAATATTGCTTTCGTTATCATAAAGTAACGCGACTGGTTTATTGATTGATCACTTCTTGTCTACGTTAAATTTTTTTCTAATAGTTTCGTTTATGTAAAGCGAACTTATTATCAAAGTTTTTGGTTTCTGATGGCCATTTTCAGAATTATTTCCCTACTCACTGAGTTCATTGCTAAGCACTTCAGTTAATGAACGTTTCAGGATCGAGTGTATTACTGCAGTAAAGCACTGATGCAGAAAGCGGCATGCATAAGTCGAGAGAAGTTGTTAAGCTTTGGTAGTTGTTTGGGTAAATTCACGAAAACCAAAAAATTCTATTTGCATATTACAGCGCTCGATTATATAGCACCATATGCAAAGGTTTTCTACATTTTCATTGTTTTTTTTTTTCATTTATTCATGATGATGGTTGCCTTGTTGTTGGATTCGAGCGTTTATCAATGTGTGAAGAAACATTTTCATTTATTGAATATTGTGTTTTTTTGCAAGCGGGCTGGAAGAACTTGTTCATGAGACATCTTTTGTTTGTATGATCAGTTCTGTATATGACGCTGAAATCTGTTTCTTTTTTTGAATGAAAATCGAGATTTGCTCATCAGATCTCATGTGGTCACCAGTCAATAAGTTTTTTGTCATTGTTCTTTCAAAATTATTATTTCTTCACCGGTTTGCAGTATCGAGTGTGGGTGAATGCGCAAGGTGAACAACATTTTCTGTATGGAAACAATATTGTTAAATCGCTTGTTTCAAGAATGAGTGAAGGATGTGAGTCACATCAGGGTGTTATTGTTCACAATATGAATGACATACCGATAGGATTTGGAGTAACTTCAAAGGTTTGCTGAACTTAGTTCTTTCATGTGTTCAATCAGATTTTGTGTATCGCTATTAGACATTCGCTTCTTCCACATGAGGTGACAGATTCTTCAATAGCATGGCGTCACATTCCGTGGAATTATCTGTTACTCGTGTATTTATTTTGAGTTCGAATAGTTCGGTTGTGATGAAAGATAACTCTTTTTTTTAACTGCAGAGTACAGCGGAGTGCCGAAAAGCTGACCCAACCGCGATTATTGTTTTGCATCAATGTGATCTGGGAGAGTACATACGGCGAGAATCGTTCTTAACTTGATCGTTGTTATTGTTATTGTTATTGTTCTGTTATTTGCATTGAATACACTCACTTTCGTTACCGATTGTTGTTATGTGCATAATTCCTACATTTTCAGTCTAATTTTACACAAGCTGCAGTAAAGGTGCACAGCTATTGTCATAGAATATCATTTTGTTGCAGTATTTTTACTGTTACTTGCACAACTCACTGCTCCTGCTCACACCAAATAAGTGAATATTATTATTAGTATCTGATGAAAAGGTGTTTAAAATGAATTTCGCAATTAACGGATTGCATTTACGTAAAGCAAATGTATAGAACGAACGCTCAAGCAGTATTAATGCAATCAAGTTTATTTCTGCTCAAAACATTTTTTCGATCGAGAACTTTGTCAGCAAACATGTCGTAAGGTTGAGTGTCAAAAGACTTTTTCCGCCATGCAGCCTGCTACCTCAGAAGTCATCCAATGTGTCCCCTCTGTTTTGACACTCGTAAAATCCTCCTTAAGTTCAAACATGCAGTCTCTTTCTTTCTCCTGGCATTCTATAGGAAAAGCGTCTCGATGTTGTTTGTGAAATTTGAATTTGCATAGTTCGATCAGATGTTCTGAAACGATAGTATTTCATAGCGAATCCAATCAACTTATATCGACAGTCAAGAATTTAATTGAAGTATTAAAGTGCGATCGAGTATTTTTTCTTAGCAGTGCCTAGGTAACTTCCTCTCATCAACAGCACTGTTATCTCTTTGGCTGATCGTACCAAAGGAATGACATATTGAAGTTCACTTCAATAATTCGTGAAAAAGTAAAGTGCATACTGGAATTATGCAAAATCGTGAAACTTACTAGTCACAAGGCACATTCCCAAAATTTTCACATCTCTTTGATGCGTTCTTTTATATATATGTGAGCATTCAGTATTCCATATGTTGCACTTATACTTCTTCCACTTCGATAGACACATAGCTGTAATGCCTCCTGAAATTTTGAGAATGACAGTAACAGAAAAATGAACTTACCAAATTACTGGAAAATGCATAGCTTATGATATGCTCACTTCAGATGTTGTTTAATGAACTCGAGAGAAGATATTGAATAAACTTATTCACATGATGAAGAGATCGTCCCATGATTCAATGTGCACTCGAAATTCTTAGGCTGTATGTAAAGTTTGAGGAAAATGGATTCGAATTATTCATTCATACCTTCCTCAGCGCATACAGCAACGAATTCTGGAACTTCAGTTTTCTCAGCGTCGGTCGTTGAATTTTGCCAAGAATAGGCAATATAGTTGGAACAGGCGCTTATCAACTGGCCGCATTTTACTTCATTCATTTTCGCGGTACATTTTTCCATGATCTCTGAAAGGAAGAAGCAGAAAGTCACAACTGAACGGTAAAATGCCTAAAAAGTTGAAGAATTCATCATCCTCAGTTACCTCATTTCCATGATAAGAGCAACAGCTGGAGAAGGATGCAGAAAGAATGGAAAGCGGTTTTTAAATATATGTACAACATTAATTCTACCAATAACTGGCCTCATTCCCGTGATTTGCAGTATATATTTCAATCCTTTTTTGACAGCACTCAAGTTATTGCATTATTGCGAATTTATTCCCTTTAAACCATGCAATTATAGCATTCAACAATTTCTCGATCAATTACCTTTGATTGTGGTCGATGTACACCTCATGCTGAAAGAAAGAACGATGACAAAAAGCACGGAACGTCGCATTCTCAATCGTCAACCTGAAATGAGAATAATCACGAAAATATTCCTGAAACATTCAATGAAGCACACTGAACCCTAAAAACTGAAAACTATGGGTATTAAACAGTTTTCATGAAAAAACGCATATCAAAAATCATGTCACCAGTGATGCAATACTCATTATCGTCTCTCGTGAGCGATTAACAGTTACAGATTTCTCTCACGGCATGATTAAGCAACGTTGCGACTAGCGCGAAAAGCTAGCATACAATGATGATAGTACTAAAAGAGATAGTACTTGAATTAAATAAGAAACAGCATGCAATGGGCCGATCGTGTACTAGTGTAACGCTGGGCTTTGAGGATCCGATGTGTTTTTCTGTCCAAAATCTTTGACAAAAGTTTGATCTCAAAGTGATAAGCACACAAGAATATCTCAATTCAAAGGATATTCAAAAAAAGGGCATAGTTTCGACACGTAGAAGAATTCATCTCAAAATTTAGCAATTTTTTGACTCTGGCGATGTCCCTGCTAATAAATGTGAGTAGTGAGATGATGAGATGAACAGCTTGAATTTAAAAGATAAAGTAATCAACACTGACTGTGTTCCTTCAATAAGCGTATCCAAAACAGATCAAATGCAATGGCAAGTATGACTGTCTAATTGAGAATATTCACGACTTCTGTCTACACGGCAAAAACAACGATAAATTTTATCGTTAGTGCAACTGGCGTTTTATTCTGCATTATGATTTCATATCAGGATCGTATATTTATTTTTATTACAGTTATATCAGTGGGTACGTACTTAGTGCAACTACCTTTTTCACCCTTCATCGTGATCATTTATTAGTCATTCATTACTTTGGTTCCAGCTGGGATAATATTTTGTCGTCAAGTTTTATTTTCATTTTGGTATCGCATTCAGTGTCCTTTCTGTTTATTTTTGTTTTGTCTTTATTTCGTGGATATTCGTGGCTAGAATTTACAATATACTGATTAATCGATAATAAAATTGAAAATGCTTCGAAAACCTTTGATACGCATTGCGATCGTTTTTCGTGAGTGATTGCTCCGCAAAAAAAGCCGTGATAATAATCAATGAAATATTGTATCCTCATCGGAAACTCTGAAAAGAATATAAACTTTTCAATGCATTCAACGAAGAATTTTCATCTTGGGTTTATGAGACTGAGCTGAGACAATGAAAAGCCGTTGAATTCAAAAAAAAAATTCGCTTATATGTCACAAGTTGAACTGAAATCGTGATCGTTCAGCTCAACCATGAGCCAAGCCAGTATTGCGCTCAGACGTTGAGTCGCTTAGTGAGCTTAAGCTTAAGCAACTGATTCGTCAACCAGAGCAAACTAATACAAATATGTCACTCCACATTACTATACTAATGAAGCATGAACGCAATTCGCTG